AGGCCCCGCATTCGTACAGACTTTCGCCTAGTGCGCATCCTGCGCATCGGTGTCTGATTGGCCCAAACCGGTATTCGCACCCCCACCCCAATGTTGAGTCACGGGTCTTGGTATCTCAGATGCTGCATTCTGAGTACTCAGTGGTAAGGCCCACTAGTGGTAAGGCAGTGCCATCTCTGCACTGGTGCTGTGGACACCGCACCTCAATCCCTGGTTCGTTCACTTGGTCGACAGCGTTTGTTTCAGCCACTCCGTTTTTGGCACTAGGGAACATGCGATGGTGTACTTGGCTGGGGATGGCATAAGCCTTGGATGTTGGGGGATATAACGCGAGGGGCGGGATGGGGCTTGTGAACCTATGCGGTAGTGGTGGGGAATAGGGGGGCCACAGGCGGAGATGTGCGCCGGCGTGAGGGGAAAACAGGCGAAGTGTAAGCGACTTCCTGTGAAGCCCTAATCTACTAGCCGGGGGGCATGAGGGCGACATGAGAAACTGTGTTAATTTCGTGTGTCGATGACTGTGTGAATCCAGTGAAACTAAAAGTTTCGGGTACCCTCTGTTGGTAAGTATTCAAACACTCCCAATCTCTGTGGAGTACTTTAGCGCGACACCAGGGGTTCCTTGTTCAAAGGACAAATCCCCAGAGCTGATCTCTGTTCCTTTGTCCCAAGCTGCTAAAGTTCTCACTTGGCCCCGGGTGCTCAGCATACACCACTACGAAAACCACATTCAGAGTGGAAATTGATAGAGTGTTTCAATTTTCTCCGCCACAGCGGAACGCCACGCAAGAATGAGTAGCCCTAACCCAAAGTTTCCAAAACACAGTTTGATTCATCTCACAGTTGCACACGCTCGCTTCTATCACCTTCGCCACAACTGACGAAAGCGTTGAATCACCCTTTTCAGCAAGTGTTTGTCGAAGTACAAAGGCTGTCCGGATCGGATGGACTGCCTCCGACTGGGCAACGCGGCTCTAGCCGAGGCGTCCTGTCGCCACACTATATCGTCCATCGATGGATTGGCCTGCGTGTGCCGATGGGGGCACTTCGCCGACATATCTTGCAGGCGCAGATGGGCTGGACGGGCACGCGCCGTGCCGGCGAATAGGCGCCCAAGCGACTCGCAAGAGGGGGGCGCAAGGGCCATTGCAGGGTAGCAATTCCCTACCAGGCGTCTGTGTTTGGCTTTGTCTGCACGGATCTAAACCGTGCTTCACCAGGAGGCAGTCTTTGTTTGGCTTTGTCTGCACGGATCTAAACCGTGCTTCACCAGGCGGCAGGACAGGGAGCGGTTCGTGCTTTAAGTATTCGAGTAAGCCTGGCAACAAGTGCGATGGTGCTTGGTGACCAAATCCGCCGGCAACAAACACGGAGTTGCAAGCGTTGGCAGCGTACCGAAAGTGCCAGAAGGAGCGGAACTGCAGCGGCGTGCATCCCGGCAAGCATCTCGGCGGCTGTGCAGCTGCCGCCGCGCGTCCTGCACAGAGCAAGAAAGCGTCGCACGGTTGATACTCCAAGACGTCACTCATCTGCTGCAAAGGGCGGCCACCCACTGCCTCAAGCAGCGCAGCCAGACGCTGCGAGGGCGGCACAGGCGCAGGTGCCTCCCTTGTCTGTGGGCGCCCGCTGGGTTTGGGGCTTTTTGACGGGCAGCGCAGCAGCAAGGAGGGCGCGCAAATTGAGTGACAGATTGACGCCACGGACCCCAGAGCAATAAGGCTCTGCTTCTCCAATGCCGGCGCAGCATCCGCACCGGCATCGACGCAACCAGGAGCTAAGTGTTTTGGCCCAGAGTCGGCGTTGCTCGTTCACCTGGTGGCTCTTGCGAGGAGCCTCCAGATTGACGAAAGGAGAAGAAAGTGAAAAAGGGGTGAAGCAAATGCGTGCGACCGCACCTGCGGCGCGTGCTCACGGCTTACTCCCAGACCAGAAGGAAGGGCTCTGGAAGGCCTTGGCGCTGGAGCTGCTGCTTGTCTGCGCTTAGGATCGTCGTGCCTGGGCGGAAGATGTCGTCACAGGCGCGGGGCCTGCCACATCCAGCAACTGGCGTCTTATCAACAGGGCACTGGCCATATATGATGGGCAGGAGGCGGGGGAGGTCAAGGGGAAAGTGTGTACAAGTTAATAGTAGCAATAGTGCTACCATCAATATTGCTATTACTAATGGCAACCGCGGGGGAGTAGTATACTTTAGGCAGTCAGGCAGCCTTAACCGCGGCTTAAGCGGCAGCATACCTTAGATAGCCATATAAACGTATTTTTTGCCACTTTTTTCGCCCATCTCGCTGTATGCACATTGTCGACGATCACACGACGGATGGCAACACTCACGAAGGCGACCGACTTGCGCGTCGGTTGACCCATCAAATTGTACGGCGATATCGCAATCGATTGCAGTCCAAGGTTCAGGTTTCACACAGCCGACCGGGGCGAACTTCCATATTGAGGCAAGGACTAAAAAGTGGGAAAGGGTCCAACAAGTGCATGTGACCGCATCTACAGCGGGCGCTCGCGGCTTACTCCCAGCCCGGATGGAAGGGGCTCTGGAAGGTCTTGGTGTTGGTTGCTGCTTGTCTGCGCTTAGGACCGTGCGTGGGCGGCGGGAGTCGTCACAGGCGCGGGGCATGCCGCATCTGCAAACGATGCCCCATCAACAGTGCACAGGCCATTATATAGTGGGCAGGACGTGGCCGGAGATCTGTATTGCCTTTGTCTTGAGCGAACCTATCATCCCCGCAATTTCCATTTATGTCACCGCTAGGCTTGGCAGGGTCCTCCTCACCCCCAACTCGCACACAGGCCAAGTTCACAGCGCTTTTCCATTTTTGGTGCCCATTAACATCGAAAACAATGGCCACCAACGTCATCCTATTGCCCCTATGATCCGGCAGTAGAATCAAAGTACTAACCTCAGTGCGTTATGTTACATTTAATTCAAAGCCGAACTCAATTTTTTTTCTCGTTGGTGAAAAGTTACATATCCAGAGTATAGATTAGAATATGGGGCGGCTCCATATCCTGGATATCGAACATGATGTGGGTGCCATATCCTGGATCAGTCTTGTTATTTACGCCGTAAACACAGATCGTATTCACGTTCTTATGCATAAAAATAGTTTTACGTTTTACGTGTAAAAATGCGTAATGACACGTAAATACAAAGTAGAAATACCCCCGTGTACACAAAGACGGTACATACTGCCTTCGGGACTCCGGGGAATAGCATCCAGACGCACTGTACTGGGCAGAAAACGAATTTTGTTCCACTCCATCGTGGCCCTTGCCGAGTGGGAAGAGGTCGCTGTGTTGCAGGCGCTCAACATCGCCTCAACATCGCCTGTAAGGTGCAAGGGCAGTGTTTTGTCATGTTTATGTGGCAAATGTAATCAAAGGATTTGAGCGGGCGCTCAAGGGGCCGGAGTACTGATCACTGTACACAACTTTCATCGTGTAACCTGGGTGTCACAGCGAGCCGTAAAAACATAAAAAAACTGGCGTAGAAATAACCTCTTTTGCAAATTTACGTTTTTGCGCATAGAAACGTAAACATAAGAACGTAAACGTAAGAATGCAAACATAAACATAAACATAAAGAACAAGCCAGTCCCGGATATGCATATCCAGGTTGTGGGCGCCTGTATCCTGGGATATGGTGAAGATACGGGCGAGGATATGGCTGTCCCGGCATATGGGCCGCCATCTCCTGGGATATGGCTGCAATATCGTGGGATATGGGACCCCATATCCTGGGATATGGCCATATCCTGGATATGAATATCCAAGATATGCAACGTTTTCCCGATGCTAAAGGTGTGGGTGGGGTGGAGCAAAACTAGATGGGTGGGTGGCGAGAGGCGCTCCTCAAGTGATGTAGTTGTCCGCCGATGCAGCACATGCCAGCCATGGCTACGCTCGCACGAACTCTAGCCTCGGTTCCTGCTGTGAGTGTGCCTTATGTTCATGTATGGCTTGACTCACGTTCAAACGCTGCCAGAACACCAACTGGTTCAAGGCTGCCCATCAGGGTTAAATCCGTCCGGAAAGCAACTGTTTGGTCCAATTCCAAACAGTCCACTATTGATGGACCGCGGTTGTAACATTGCTTATTATTTAGACGTAAACACAGTGTGTATTTATTTTTTCAGCGCGAAAATAGTACTTACTCTTTTGGCGTAAACAAGGTCAATACACAGCTTGTGTACATAAAGACAGTACATACAAGGCCCTGAGTGCCGGAGGGGCCAACCACTCGGGGTGAGCGCCCCTCGCACCCTCTCCAGGGAAGTGTGAGCTCGACTTTCAAAAAAGGGCAAGTTGAAGTAAAAACTACTGCGGATCAGTACTTTGGATTAAATCGCGAAGCAGAGGGGAAACTGAAAATCGTGGGTGATGAGCATTCGCACGGAAGCAACCTTGATGATAGTGTTATGTTTTGTACCGGCCCACAAGGTGCACTTCAGCCGGTGAAAGTATCCACCCAAGGGGAAATTGACCCACCATCACTTTTCAACATTAGTCACCCACGTCACGCGGTCAGGCACTACTTTCCAGCTGCACTGACTCGCCGCAGTTTCCCGCCCAAAAAAAGCATTGGGAAAGTGCAGAGCGTTATCATCGGCCACGGAACGCAACTTTGGCCCCGACAAGATCTGTGATCGGCGGGCGCCCCGGCGCCCACCTGGCGCAGCCTCCACCGAGGATTAACGTCCCCGTCGTCATCCTCGCGCTGGCGCACACTTTGTTCCCCAAGGTTGGCTCCGACGCACCTCGCCCCCAGCGCATCAGCACCCTTACTGCAGCCCGCCGAGTCGGTCATGCGCCCCTTGTTAGGATTCGCGGGGATCGCGATGACACCGGCAGGCCGCGCTCGGTGTTTCGTTTATGCGAGCCGCGCAAATCTGCCGTGGGAGGTTGGCGGTGGACGGCGGCCGTTGAGAGGGTAGTAAGGAGGAGGCGGGTCCCGAGCGGCGGGCGCTGGGCGGGATCGCGGCGCCGGGAGCATGGAGGCCGAGTCGCAGCCCTCCGGATGCTGCGGTTCGCGGAAGATGACGTGGTGGGTGCGGCGGATGAACGCGCGGGGCCTCGACGCTCTGTTGCGAGGTGCTGGGACGGTGAAGGCGGGGAGCTCGGGGGGGCAACTAAGGCTTGCAGAATTGTTTTGTGGTTTGCTGTGGCGAGCCTGTCGGACGGGATTCGGGCGCGGGCCGCCGTCAATGGAGCGCGCTAGCACGGCGGAAGGCTGGCACCGCGCCCCGGATGGTCGAGTCTGGCCGGCTGAAGTGCGGAGCGCTGGGCTTCGCGCTGGTGCTTTGGGCACGGGCAGCAGTGGGTCCCGCCCCGGCCGCGGTGGGCGGGTCGGTGGGGCCTGGGAAAGTGCAGTCCGCGGTGGCCCGCAACGGCGGAATTTGCCTCTGGGTGGCTTGCATCGGGCTGAAGCTCTGATCACTGCGGAGGAGTGCCTGCAGTACGGCGGCGGTGTGGGGGGCGCCGAAACCTCGTCGAGCATGCGTCGTGGCGGGGCCCCGCGGTGGCATTTGACAAGAGGGCGTGGTGTTTGCCCAAAGAGAGTAGGAAAAATAAGGCAGAAAGTTGCAAAACGAGGGTAGCTGGTATCCCCTGGGTGAAGGACGCAGGCATGGGGGCAGGCGCCATGGATGCCGAGTGAGGGGCGCCGCCACATGGTGAATTGGAGCGGGGTCTAAGCTGCTTGTGCCCACCGCGCGCGGTACGGGACAGGCCCGGGTTTGGTTGCGTTCATCATCTTCTGCTCCTGTCTGTCCAGGCGCTGGCTGCAGCGGCAGGTGCTGGATCATTTCCTCGAGCTGGGTGAGTGGGTTTCATTTGAACGGTTGAGGTACTGTCCGGTGCCGAAAGTTTTTATGCGAGGGCAACGCCGTCGTCCCTGGTCTGCTGCGAGTAGTCTACTGTCCTGGAGCTTGAAAATTGCATGCACCCGCACTGTTTGCGAGACCCAGAGCGCTGTGAGGACCTGGCGCAGAACCGATGTTTGGCGCAGATCCGGAATTTTTTGTTGCGAACCTGCTCCTCTAACAGTGTCCTTGGCACTGTGCCGACCAGGTTTGGTTGTTGCCACAGTCGTGGCGCTGGTCTGGCCGCGCCCTGGCACTGACCTGTCTCAGCACAAGGTAAGGGAAGGCGGCGTGCATGGCTATTTTGCGCATTCATGTGCTGTTGTGTTCAATCCTGAAACCAGGGCCCTTGATCAAAGATGCGACGTTGATCCCACACACAACCCCAGTGTGCCCTGAAGCGGCGTGCATATCTCATGGGCATGGAGCGCTGTTTTTCAACGTTTCTTTTGTGGATGTCAGGCTTCTTCTCTTGGCTTTTGGTTGGTAGGGGTGGATGGTCGTGTTGTGCACCCACTGTATCAGCATGTTGTGCGATTGTTTTATTTTTGCTTTGACATTGAAGCAAATGGATCCCCGAGAATTCCTTACAGTGCAAGCCTGAAGATGAATTGAAGGTGGAGTAATTGTGGCAGCGTTTCCTTTTCCTTTTGTAGCAGTCATTGCTTGATACCATTCCTCATGTACCCAGAGTTTTTTTGTATGCGTGTATGAGTGTGTCTTTTTCTTGTGCATGTGCAGTTGGTACAAATATGCACTGGATAACATTCAGCCCCGGGAATAATGAAGACCATATTGGTCTTTGCTGCATCTGATCATAGACTCAAAGTTAGTCAAAAACGTTGTGCATAGAATGCATGTGTTTGTTGGGTAACAGGTAGCCATCTTCTATGAGAGCTCTTGAGTGGCCGTGCTGACAATGTCCTGCTTGGCTTCTTGCCATAGGTGGGAAGTTTCAGCATCGCCCAGACTGTCAACATCTGCACCTATTTCGCTGCCTCTGGTCTCTCTGTCGACACTCGAGACATCACTTCTGCCATCACAGCATATCGTTCCATAGCATATGGCCTCATAGCTATTCTTGTCATCACCCCCACGCTGGGCTTTGGGATCGTCATGCTGCCCTTTGAACCCATGGACTTTGCCGCGGGACTTGCAATTTTTGTTGCCATGCCAACAACACTGTGTTCAGGGGTGGCTATGGTGGGCAAGGCGCGGGGCAATGCAGCTCTGGCACTGTTGCTAACGATCGGCAGCACCTTGGCTGGGGTCGCGACGGTACCATTCCTCATCAACCTGATCACTGTTCATGGCCACAATGTGCACATCGACACACTGCCTCTGCTGCTGAAGCTCCTGTCGACGATCTTGCTGCCTCTCTTCGTGGCCATGGTATTGAGGGAGCTGCCTGTGTTGCAAAGCCTGGTAAAGGCACAAACCCAGATGGTAAACCTGCTCGCCAATGCCAATATGACGCTGCTCGTTTGGCAGATGCTGAGCCGGTCTCGTGACCAAATCGTGGAACCTGGTCGTTGTATGGATGTGGGGATCATTATCGTGGCAGCAGTGGGGGTTCACATCATCTATCTGGTGTGGAACATCACTGCTGCAACAGCTGCGCGGCTTCCCTTCCAAGAGAAGAAGGCGGTGGTGCTGATGGCGAGTCAGAAGACACTTCCTGTCGCCCTCGCTGTCGTGTTGTTCATGAAGGAGGATACGTGGGATCAGGGCCTGCTGTCTGTGCCATGCATCTTGGCCCACATGGTCCAGGTGCTGATAGATCTGGTGATCGTAGCAAGGTGGGCATCAATGGCAGATGGGCCTACGGTGTTGGAATCTGTGGTCACCAGCGATGGGTACGTTTCAGAGCACGGACCTGTGAAGGGGGAAATCAAGGTGGTGGACAATCCCCTTGCGGCCAAGGAGACGCCTAGGGACAATGGGGACCAGGGCAGCTATGGCATAGTCACTGTGGTGGACAACGGCGAGCCAGCGGACAGCCCGGAACCCCACAGGTCGCTGCAGGCCAACAGCATGAGCAGCGAAGAGAGCTTCATGTCAGCGCGCACGGTCTTTTCGAATGGGACCACGCACCCTGCCAAGGAGACGCCACGCAGTGAGCCTTCGTAGGCATGACGCTGTACAGGGCGCCCATGCTGCCGTAATCGTCGCAATGTTGATTGCCACACTGCAGGTTGTCACATTTCCACAAATAATGGTGCTGGGTGTGCTTTTTGTTCTCGGAACGAGTATGCATAGATATCACATTTTCTGAGTTCGTTGGGAAAGGAACCGAACTAGCCAAGGCTTTCGATTGATTTTTGGCTTTTGGGTTGGAGTTGAATTAGGTGGAAACTTAGCTATCGAGCGAAAAGGATTGGTGACTGTGTGGGAGTGGAGCTTTTGTGTACGGGGTTTTGCTCGGGCGGAGGTCGGAAAACGGGAAAACGGTTGGCGAGAGTGAGAGGATATATCGATTGATGGTTGGCGTGTTTCATGCATTTTGGCACCAGTGGCCCCTCAAGGAGGCTGGCGGGCGGCGGGAGCCGCTTCCCGGGTGTGGAAAGGCGCTATCCTTGTAGAGACCTGATTTCAAACGTGGTGCGCGCCACATGGCTTCTTGCAAACGCAAATGGAACCGTCCGACGGGTCATGCCTGTCGGAATTGCTCCTAGATTGTCAGAACGCGGCAAGGCATTGCCCTTCCACCCTTCAGGCGACGCTGGACAGGTTCTCGCTTGGTCACCGTGCTCAAATCGGCAGACCCACTGCCATAGGATCCCTGCGTGAACTTTGGAGCTGATGACGCCCTCACAATCCCACTTCCGACTGTGTGCAACTCCACAGAACGACCACTCTGGGGCGGTAGATTCGGGATGCTCAGGACGGAGAGTGTGCGTGCTCTGTCCTGGAAGCTCAGTCCTCTTGGCCAGCGAGGACGCACATCCCAAGCAAGAAATTCCTCCCAAGCAGCACAGCTGACATTCCATGTAAAGTTTCACGTACCATCCAGATATGCCTGTCCACAAACTTGCGCCTGGAGTGCAAGGCCTGCAACATGCCTCTGAAATGTCCCTGCATCGAGGGAGGTTGGCTGCCACTGTCTTCGTCTGCCAATCGGCCATGAGCAAATTCACAAGAAGTTCGCGCTTCACTGCAGTGCGCATTCTTTCGTGCTCGTAAGTGGGGCTGCGGCCGGGAGGGGGCATGCCAGCACAATGCGCATTGTGGCAGGGGAGGGTTTGCCATTTCCCACATGGCATGCCCCTAACTAGGTGGAACTTGCCACGGGACCTGCACAATACCTTCCACACTAGAAACAGTCGTGGGCGTTACCTACCACTTGAAGTACGTGACAGCCAGAAACGTGAATTCAAATCAATTCGAATCCAATCTGAGCGGCTCAGTCACTCATCAACTCCCGGCCACTTGTGCACCAGTTGCGACGGGCGCGACACCAGGGGGCTTTTTGGTTTGCAAATTTATCCACTACTTTCTGCCCTGCCATTTCCTCTACTTGTTCGGTTTAGTGGCTTGGCATTGTTCCTCCAGTTTGCTACTAACAGCTCACTATGGCCATATTTATCTCGCAATAAATATTACCAGCTGTTACTTAGTTTGTACTAAAAACTCGACATGTCGTGAGGGATTAAAACCCCTCATAGCATGTAAGGTGGTCTTGACACAAGTCATTTGAGGAATGCCATCAACTGACGCCCTGTCAACGCCTATCAGGTGCAAGGGGTGGGCTTTGTCATCGTATGACAATTGTAGTCTGGGCATGCCGTAAAGATAGGAAATCGCCTTTAGGCACATTCTTGGTTGACACCATTCGACCACTAAGGGAT